AATTCCATGTCTGAGGAGATAATCATGGGCCTGATCTCTGATTTCTTGATTAGATGCTTCAGAAAGTAGAGTAATAGTTATTGGAGACTCAATTCCAAACCTTCAGCCCTGTATTTATAATACAAGTATTAAACCTCTTATTATCCTTTTTATTTTGTAACATAGCATAAATCTTTGAATTCTAAGATACAACACCTCTTATACTACCATTTGATAAAAAAAAATCGTATATGTAGAGCCCAAACTACCAATTTGACATGGATAGTGACTAAGGTATTAAACAAAAAACAGTTCCACTTCCGGTTCATACTTTATAACATACTATTGAATTGACTTGTTACTTAAAATAACATTTACTTATGCCTAAACAGTCAGATATTAACTCAAGTATCAGCATATATTTTCATCTCACTCAATCTTATTTCATCAACGACATTCAAGACCTCTATTGCATCACCATTTTTATTAATATCAAAAAATTAATTCATTTCATGAACCTCTACTGCAATCTGGCATATCATCAAGCCGTTTCCTAAAACTTATTACATGTTATTGATTCTACAGTCATCTAATTAAAATTTCATTTTCTTAGTTACCGACTTCATTAAAACCAAGTATTGCATTCCTTAGCTACCATCTTTGTGCCAACTAAGTATCTATGTTTCATTTCTAGTTCATACTATCATAAGATATATAATATCCATTAGGTTTTAATGAAAGCTGGATCATGTTCTTCTAGTTTACTGTATCACAACTATGTGCTCTGATCCACCTGTCATATCTCTCAAATAAAAGCTGATAATCATGATCCCTCTAGTCTTATTATAGAGGATGATGAGATGCACAACATATATAAAATTTAGTTTGATTCGACAGTGGACGACAGAGATATAGCTTCTGGAGCACCGACCCTCGTTTCTTTTCTCTCTAGCCCTAGCTACTGAACTTTCTATCAATACATAAAGGGAAGGGGGTTGTTTGAATTTATTTACAAAAATACCACTACTTAGTTCATGTGTAATTTTTTATATTATTTCCGACTATTAGTACCCTCTTAAGACTTTATCGAACTCTTATTGACCTAATAGGATTATAGGTCCAAAGACTCTTCAAAAATTGTCATTTCAAGCAAACAATTAGATTGAAATAGCTTAATATTATTAAGCTGGATAATAAGTAATTTTATACAGTAATTTTACACCAAAAACCAAAGTTTTATTTACTATTTTATTTACTCAAATCATCATAATTTCTAAACTAATTTATTAAAGACTCTCATCCATTATCATCATAAAAATTTCAAATCTTAAGCACTTTTAATTAATTAGCGCGATCATATGGTTTATTATACCAAAATTAATGTTTGTTGTGTGTAAGGTCACACATTAATTTATTTGGAATTCCCTTCCATATTTCCTCTAAATGCTTGCACTCCAAATTTATAAAAACTCTTTCTTTAAAATAATTATTTTACCTGATCGGGAAGTTTACATAATTTATCACTAATTAACATGTCATTTACCGATTTTATTACTTTTCATCCAAAATTTAAGTTGAATTACTAAAAATTCTTTATCCTCTTCTCTTCTTCTATAACAATTTTCCTTCTTAATTATCATTTCTCAATCAAAATTTATCATTTTTACTATTGATTTATCAATTTTAGGTTGAGGTTTACATTATAATTCCTGTTATGCATGTGATCCTAGTGGTGGAGAATAAGAAGATATGCAAGCATATGGTAGATCATTTATATTGGAATAAGTTTTACTGAAACACATACCTTTCAAACACATGAAAATCAAGTGTTTATTTTTGTTACGGTAAGGTCTATGTATTTAACTTATTCTACCTTCGAGTGAAAATGAAAATGCTTATTAATAACTATAAGTTGTTTAAGAATGTTTATTCATGATATGTTATGATTTTTAAAGAGTTTGATTGTTTTTGTTGATGGCAATGCAATCTTTATTTGGTTTTTCATGGAAAGTTAATTTGAGTTTTGCCCAAGCATGAATAAAAGTTAAGTCTAGGGAAATTTGATGAGAATGCAAAATGTTATATTTTTATCCCTTAATGCTTATTATTTTATACTTATTTGATTTCTAAATATATTTATTATTTTTATATTTCAATTTTGAATGTAAATGAAGGCATTAATTGTAAAACGAAGTTACAATTTTGTAATTGGAGCATATCTCTCTCATCGAGCTTTGCTTGAGGTGATCCAAAATGCTATGGAACCCTAAGGAATGTAAATATATTCATTATTTTTATTTTTAAATATATTCATTATTTTTATATTTCAATTTCGAATATAAATGGAGGCGTTAATGGTGAAACAAAGTTACAATTTTGTAATTGGAGCATATCTTTCTCATCGAGCTTTGCTTGAGGTGATCCAAAATGCTATGGAACCTTAAGGAACAAATATACGACTTTCATGTTTTGATTTTTTAGAGTTGCTCACTGCATCAAGGTCTAAATTGGTTATAAAGACATTGCACTTGTGCTGTTAATGTGCTGGAACATTTTTGAGTATGCAAATCTAATATCATGTAATTTATTTTTGGAAGCTTCTAGACTTGGTGTGTGAATTCCAGCTAAAGACATCATTTTTCTTGTTATATTATGCTTATGATTGTGTTGTTTAGCTTCATCAATCTCTTTAATTTTTAAGACTGCTATTAGATTAAATTTTAAAGCTTGTTTTAAGTTGTTTAGTAATTAGGATTAATTAGATTTCTTGTTTTTTAATTGACTATAGTTGAGGAGAGATAAAAAAATAGTTATAATGTTCACTATTCAAAGTGTGAATTGAGATATATATATATATATATATATATATATATATATCTCTGATAACTGTTAA